ACCGCCCCAGGGAACCGAAGCGGCGGGCTGCCCTCTGACCTCAGCAAGGTGGACGAGAAGCCAAAGGCCACGTCCAGCCAGCACGATGGTGAGCAGGGATGGGCACAGAGCCAGGGCTGGCTTCCAGGCCGAAAGACGAAGCCCGCATTAGCTGAGCTCCGGGAGGGCACCGCTCTCGATGGCTCCCGCAGCCTCCCCGTCCAACCAAAGCCGGCTCCACCTCCCTGTAGCTCATCTCCGCTCATTTCTCTCCAGCTCCACTCTGAGCTCCTGAAACCAAGCATCCCGGCGTCTCCCTCCCCACAGCCTCTGGACCCCTTTGCGATCTGCTGTCCCCGCCGCAGCTGGGATGGCCTTTCGCATGCACACATCTATGGGGCAGCTGTGTCCCCACTCCTGAAGCCTTCACATGAGCCGCTGTGCAACGAGGTGACCGCACGCCCCTGCTGCAGGACTAGACCCGGCGTGTCCTGGTCACCCCGGACCGTGTCCCCGGATGCCTGCAGGTGTCATGGTGCGGATGCCACAGCTCGCGGCCACTCCCAGGCCTCTCCTTTTCGGCTGTGGGAGCCACTCTGGCCTACAGCTCTCCCACCTGCCGGCCTCCTTCCTGTCCAGGCCCCTCACGCACTCTGCTCTTTGGGTTCTCCCAACTGCAGCCAGTGGCTGTCGCCAGGCGGGCGCCTCCTGCCTGCTCAATCTTCCTTATTCCGTGTTTTCCGGCCCCACTGAGACGTGCGGGCGCACACTCGTCACCTCTGAAATTCGGTGATTATCCGTGTAATTGCTGCTTAGTGCCCGTATTCCCAGCGCAATCTGTAGCGTCCACAAGGGCAGGGGCCTCGCCGCTGGTTTCTCCCCAGAGCTCAGCACCGTTCTTCTTTTTCTAGAAGATTTTTTATTTGTGTGAAAGGCTGAGTTAGGAGAGAGGAGGAGAGATAGAGAGGTCTTCCATCTACTGCTTCCCTCTCCAAATGGCCGCAATGGCCAAGGCAAAGCCAGGAGCCAGGAGCTTCTTCCAAGTCTCCCACGTGGGTGGCAGGGGCCAAGCGCTTGGGCCGTCTTCTGCTGCTTTCCCAGAGGCACTAGCAGGGAGCTGGATGGGAAGTGGAGCAGCCGGGACTCGAACCAGCGCCCATGTGGGATGCCGGCACTGCAGGTGGAGGTTTACCCTGCTGCGCCACAGCGCCAGACCTGGCGCTGTTCCTGACACACAGGAAGGGCGGGAGAGGAGGGGACCCAGGTGCGACCAAGTCAGTAGCAGGGAGACAGTGGCCAGCAGGTTGGAAGAACAGCGTGGCTTGGATAAAGCAGGTACTTCCAACACCAAGTCTGAAAATACCTTCAGAACTGACTCTGCACGAGGCTGGCCTGGCAGTGAGCGAGAGGGACCGCACATCCGGGGTCTTAGTGAGGTTAACTGTTCATAGGACTCCGCTGGCCCACGAGCGGCCGCCACTACGTGGGCTCCAGTGTTTGTTCAGCGTCTTCAACTTCATGAAGGAGACTCTGGCAGCAGAAATGATAGCGTGTGGAATGTGGGGCGTGGAAGATGCAGGGGGAGGAGCGGCGATGACTCGGCTCGGGGGTGGGGGTGGGGTGGGGGAAGACCTCCATGCTCCAGGCTGGACAAAGCTGGCGACCCTCGCAGGACAGCCGTGACCCCAAACACAGGTTCTCAACAGCAAGCACCAGCCACCCAACTGAAGGGCTCAGATGTGCACGCAGCCCCAAAGCCAGGTACCATAGACGTCTACCCGGACAGGGAAACTTCACGGCAACACCAAAGTGAAAGGAGAGCTCAGAGGGTGGCTGCAGGGCGGCAGAGACACGCTCTACTCTTGCACGTGGGGCTGGTGTCTCCCCTTGTGGGGGCCCCTCAGCGGCAGGGCTGTCAGTGGGAGCAACCAAAGCCTGGGGCCAAAGGAACGCATGTGCACGGCACTGGGGCTGCACCTGTAGCTGAAGGCAGGCTTGAGTCAGAAGCAGAGGGTCTGCAAGTTCACCCAGAGGCATAAAGTGGCCAGGATGGGGCGGGGCGGGGCGGGGCTGGCTGCCTGCACGTGGAGGAGTGGCCGGAGGGCTGGCAGACCAGGCCTCAACTGCTGGGGTGGGGGCTGGGATGCAGAGACATGGACGTGACCGGGATGCTTTCTGGAGGCAGGACAGCCAGGAGCTGGGGACCAAGTGCCCTGGGGGAGCAGCGATGCCACTCGCTGGAGGACGGCTTCTGTCAGACACGTCCTGGCGGGCAGGTGCCGGAGGTGGCTGCAAGTGAGAAGTGACCTGGAGACAGAGCTGGAAGAGCCACCAGGTGACCTCCACGACTCAGCTGCTGATGACCCGGTGGGGGTAGGGGGTAGGGCCACGACCCGCCAGGTGCTGGGCACGGAGCTTCACTCCAGCGGGACCAACAGGTGGCAAACAAGAAGACGCACGAGAGAGTACTGAGGCAGTGGTCGTGGCCAGGGCCTGCTGGGCAGGGTTTCTGTGCTGGTCTCAGGCTGGGCCAGGCCCTGGCTCCCGGAGCTGAGCCACCCGGCACAGAGCTGAAGTACCCGTCCCATTGTGTTTGAGAGAGAATGTGAGGTGCCGTCTCTTGCCACAAGAACTTCACGCACCCTACACGCGTTTCTGGCCCCCTCCCGCCACCCCCCGTCTGGAGCCTGAAATGCACAGCCAGTGAGGGCACCCCCTCCACCCCCACCCCGCCCCGCCCCCGGCACGCTGGGTGACGTCAGGAAGGCGCCACCACGGACCAGGCCCTTCCCGTGAGCCTCGGACACAGGATGACTACAGTGGACGCGCAGAGCTCCGAGCGCCAGCCCCGCGTCTCCGGGAGCCCGTGCGCTCTGTCCGGCTGCAGCGTCCGCGAGAAGGACCTGGGCGGCAGCATGCAGAGCCACCGCACGGGCTGCGGGAGCCTTTCACTGGCTTGTAGCACTGTGGATAGCATCACGTGTTAGCGCCTCCCACCGTAACAACTTCAGAGTGGGGCCTGGACTCCCCCGAGACAAAAAGGAGCCTCCTGGAGAACGCGGCCCACAGGGCAGGGGCTTGCGGCACGCTATCAAGGGAAGACGCCCGCGCCCACGGCCCCATCACAGTTCCATCGCACAGATCCTGCCTGGGCAGAACGGCCCCTCCTCTCCCACGGGAAAGTAAGAAAGTGCAGAAGAAATTAACAGCTTAGCCGCTGCCCAACTGCAAAACGTCTCTAGGAGAAAATGTCTTAAAAATAAGAGAGCACAGGGGCTGGTGCCGTGGCGCGGTAGGTTAATCCTCCGCCTCTGGCGCTGGCATCCCATATAGGTGCCGGTTCTAGTCCCGGCTGCTCCTCTTCCCATCCAGCTCTCTGCTGTGGCCTGGGAAAGCAGTGGAGGATGGCCCACGTCCTTGGGCCCCTGCACCCGTGTGGGAGACCTGGAAGAAGCTCCTGGCTCCTGGCTTCAGATGGGTGCAGCTCTGGCCATGGTGGCCACCTGGGGAGTGAACCAGTGGATGGAGGACCTCTCTCTCTGTCTCTCCCTCTCACTGTCTGTAACTCTGTCTTTCAAATAAATAAAATCTTTTAAAAAAAAGCTTAGAAGTCTCAGAATATAATTAAAAAAAATTAAGAGAGCGCTAGTTCCCTGGGCGATAGCAGCTCTTGGCTCTCGGGGTCTCGGGCTGCCCCGCTGCTCCAGGCTGGGACCCCGCTCCGGGGAATGCGATGGAACAGGGGAATCCACGAGGGAAACTCACAGGATGAGCTCTCTGGAAGGAGAAAGCCGTGTTCATCAGAGCCGAGGTCTCTCTCTGAGTCAGCGTGGACAGGGCATCACCAGACTCCACCTTGCTGACGGGACAGTGCCACCTGGTACCGACTGAGGATCAGGGCCACCTGGGCACTGCCAGATCCAGCCGCAGCCAGGGAGCCTCCCTGGGAGCCCCAGTCAGGGCGCAGGGAACTCCTAGCTAAGCACAGACTCTCACAGAAAACCCCACAGCTGGGAGTGGGAGCCTGCAGCCAAAGCCGAGAACCAAGGAAACCACTCCCCGGCGCGAGGCTGCTCCTCCACCCTGCTCCATTGTACAGATGGACACCAGTGGGACCAGGATCTCACAACAAGGAGACCCTGGGTCCCCCCACTCCCAGGCAAGGTCTCCTGTCCTGCTTCTCGTGTGGCGGAGCCCCAGGAGCCCCCATTCCAAGGTGGGGGGAGCGGGCAGCCAAGTTGCTGGGCTGCATCACAAAGCAGGCCAGGTACACAGGAGACCTGCTTCTGAGCTGCTCTGTCCAGGTGGCTCCCGTCACGTGACTCCCGCTCACAGAATTAAGAGCAAGCAGGCAGCTCCAGGGGCTGGGGGGCGTGGCACACACGTGATCCTGTCCACCACCTCCTCTATTCACTGGGAGCAGGGGACCGACCGACCAAAGCGGGCTCGGGACCCCTTGAGCTCCGTGTCCCTTTTCTAAAGTAAGACGTTGGATGCTATTGTGTCTTGGAACTCTTAACAAGCGGCATTCATAGTCTAGCTCCTTGGTTGTTTGCAAAAGAAGAGAGAACTCGCACCCTTCGCTGCGGCTCGTGGGACTGCCGGTTACCCTTTGGCCATGACCCTTAAGTGGGAGAGCTGTGCAGAGCTCACTCATCTTGGATGACGTGGGCATCCGGGTGTCCCGCAGGTGGCACAGGCAGTCGGGAGGCCCCTGCACAGTGCACACGGGAGTGCGCGCACACGCACACGCACACGCCTGCACACGCCCTACACCTTCTCCAAGGGACACGCGCATTTCACACCACAGCCCCCAGGTTTGGGTTTCTGTGTTTACGAAGGCAGATGTGACTAACAAGTGCACCGAGCTTCCATCATCCCAAGTCTGGGTTTTGGAGCGCTTGTGTTCCCAGAACTGCCTGGTTTCCAAGGGGAAAATCCCCTGAGGGAAGCCGAGGAGGAGCCGGAAGCCCGCCGGCTCGCCGGCCGCGGTGCCCTGCGGTGGGCAGAGCCAGCCTCACCTGGAACATCGATCAGTCTCTTGTAGACATTCAGGAAGGCTGCCTCCGCTTCTTTGCTCCTCTTACTCAGCGCATCAATCTGAAAGCGTCAAAGAGAAAAACAAGGGACTCAACATTGGTCAAGAGGCAATTTAAAAATCTATACGTGCAGTGCGTGCCCACGGCGCACGGAAGGCTGGCTTCTCCCGGCAGATGTCTGAGAGCTGGGCCGGGCAGCTCAGAGGAGACAACCCGCGTGGGCCCAGGCCCACAGCCTACACTGGAGGGTAGAGCTCCCTGCCGAAGTGCACCTGCGAGGCACCTTCAAGAACTGGGCCCCTGCCACCCTCAAGGGAGACCCGGATGGAGCTCCCGGCTCCTGGCTTCAGCCTGGCCCAGCCCTTGCTGTCGTGGCCATTTGGGGAGTGAACCAGCAGATGGACATTCGCTCTGTCTCTCAAATAAGTAATTAAAGCAAAAACCCCTGAGTCATTGAGATGTATGCATAAAAAGAATTTTTTTTTAATGAACGTCAAGGATATAGACACAGACACACAGTTATGCGCTTATGACGCCCACGTGTCTGTGTTCCGCCCATGGGATCCAGGTTAAGGACCCATGGGTGAGGCTGTAACACCCCACAGGACGCAAGGGATCAGCAGGAGTCTGCTGGGGTGGGGACAGGGCCATAACGCGGGAGCTGCGGGTGACAAAGCTGACGGGCGAGAAGGGGCAGGTCCCGAGGGGCCCTCAGTGCAGGACTGCGGAGGCGGGAGGGGTGGGGGACTGGACAGAGGTCATTGCCCTCGTCCAGGTGACAAACATGGCGGGCAGCGGCCGTGGGTACTAAGGGAGCACCCCGAGTTGACGTGAGACAGGGCAGCGCCTGCACTTCCTGGTCAGGGCTGGTCTAGCTCACGAACTGCCCCCGTGTAGACATCCACCTGGCAAAGCGAGGTGGCGTGCAGACCCCCCCTCAGTGACGCCAGACACCCGTCCCCAGGGCTGCCGGTCATGGCACCAACTTGTCAGGGTGTTCAGCTTAACGTGACGCAAGCGCTGAGACCACGGAACGCCTTCCGCACCGAAGCCGGCAAGACTGTACACGCACCACCTGCGCGCTGGCCCGGGAAAGGACACTAAATTATATACTCCTCTGTCCCCGCGTGCAGCTATGCTGTTTCCAGCCTTATTAAAGAGGCAAAGGCTGTGGTTTAATTACAGGGCCCGCACCTGAGCCAGTGCACTCGTGGGAAGCCCTGAGAGGGGTCACCTGGCGGGGGAGGGTCAGAGGCTGCGGGGTGGGCGACACACGCTCCTGGGGGCCAGGCCCACCAGTGCAATGCGACTGCCACCTTCTCACGAGCTGTGCCCCCCAGTGTCCAATCTGGGGTCACCCGTTTGGAACCCAGACGCGTTTCCCTCCCACGGAATGTGGCTGTGAGGTGCTGAGGGGATTCCGAGTGGCCCACGGGGACTATTAACACAACGAGATCTCCGCCTTTAAAGCGACCACCCCCTGATGGCTACCAAGTCATGCTTGCTGTATAATCAGCAAAACGTAAAAAATGCGGGGAAGTAAATTAAACTCATAAATCTGCCATTCACCGGGAAAATCATACTGTCTGCTCTGTGTTTCTCTTCAATTTTTTTTTTCTAATTAAAAAATTACAGTCCAGTGGAATGTAGGCAGACAGGCAAACTGGAGACAGAACACAGATGAGGGGCTGTCTAGGGCTGGGTGGGAGGAGACGTGGGCTTGGGGGTGATGAGAACGTCCTCCAGTTGTGGGTGTTGACGGCTGCACTCCGGATTCTACACCGGAAGTCAGGGAACTGGAGGCTTTGCGTGGGTGAACATGGTGCAAGAATCTTTCTCTGCTGCCCGGGTGTTCACGGGGCGTGGGATGGGCTGGGACCCTCTGCGGCCAGCTGAGGACCCGCCCCCACCACCTGTGGAAGAGACTGTCTCGGGGGCCAGTCTGCAGGTGACAGTTCAGCTCAGCAGCACGGCCCGGATCTGACACATCTGAGAGGGGAAAGTGTGGACATAGAGGCAGGGGCACAGGGAGAGAGCCGGGTGGAGACCAAGACAGATCAGCGTGATGTGTCCATGGGCCTAGGGGCCCAGGGATAACCAGGGAGCAGGAACAGATTCTCCCGCATGGCCGCAGGGGGACGCATGCTGCCTGCACCTGTGGGACAGAACGTGTCCACTGGTGTAGCCGCTTGGCCTGTGGGACCATGGACCTCTGTCCCCACCCGCACAGCTGCCAGGAAGTCCGAATCCAGCATGGAGCGAATGAGGGTGGGCGACGGGCTTGAGAGGCACAGTGAGCAGATGACAGCCAGGTTCCTTGGGGGGGAGGCCACGCAGCCCCGGTGGAGGCCGAGTCTCCCCTCGGTGAGGGCCCCGTGCCCCCGCGAGAGCCTCCGAACTGTTGGAAGAGTTTGTCTACCCTGGACATTCTGATGCGAGCTCGGTTCGTTTGCTCTTTTGACTCCTTCCCTGGGTCCACTGTCCGAGGTCAAGGTCAGGCCCTCGAGTCTGTGGTCTGCTCAATAGCCTGGCTTTCTCCATCACCACTCCCCAGCGGATGGGACCATGCCCGCGACCTCCCTGCTCCAATGCCAGCTCCGCCTGTTCTGCCGCTCGTGGAGTCTGGCGGCCAAGCAGCCAGAGTGGGGAAAGTGCCCAGCGCTGGCACAGGAAGTCCCGCCTAACCGTGACTGCACCATGTGCCAGGGCCTCCTGCCCAGTGTCCATGGCCACAGCCAAGCAGGGGGGCCCCTTTGTTTAACCCCTGCCGTTCTGGGTGGGGGGAGAGGCCACGTCGTGCTCATCTTCCTGCCCACCTCCCACCAGACCTGCCTGCCTGCCACGTGCTTTGGAAGTGGTACCACGGCTCGGGCCGGCACCTCCTGGCAGAATGGCAGGAGCCTTGTGCGTCTGAGACGAGGTCTGGGTAAGGATTTAGCCCCACAGCGCTGGAGTCAGGACCCAGAGGCGACACTGCTGCCCGAGCCCGAGCCGGGGACTCTGTCTTCTGTGCTCAGCACCCGGGAGAAGTGATGGGGCCCGCCTCCCGCCACGCCCCCTGCCGCAGCCACGCCCGGTGACTCCCCGTTCCCTGAACACACAGGCAATTTCCCCTCCGCCTGGAAGGCGCCTCCTTGGAATGTTCCCCTGATCCTTGGGGCTCCAGAGCCGTCTGCCAGCGCGGGGCTGCCCTGGACTGCAGATAAGATGCCCTGCCGAGTGAGGTCCTGAGTTCCCCGAGAGCCCACAGTGCCGTGGGCCCGAGCACTGTGGCTGCCGCTGGCCTGCACAAAGGGGGCGTTCAGTACACTGTCACCGTGCGTGCGAAACTGACCTCACCGGGCCGGGAGTGCCACCTGCAGAAGTGAGCAAATGCTCAAAGAATCCAGTTTTAAATCTTTACGAAATGCCTAATGTGTGAAGCGCTCTCTATGTAGCGGGCGTTGTGTGCCGTGCGCTGGGATCTGAGGCAGCTCCTTGGCTAACGGCTGCAGGGTGTGTGTGTGTGTGTGGGGGGTCTCCCCCCAACCCCCCTCGCCCCACCCGGAAGTGCTCAAGGCCACCTGCCCGCACCCAGACCCGAGGGGCTTCCACTGCACGGCTCAAGACGCCCACTCTCCTCAGAGTGTCATGTGTCACCGTCACAAACCAGATAGCGGCTTCTCACTCTCACACCACCAGCATCTGCTTCCCTCACTGTAAAAACTCAGGAGAACAAAGTTCACAGCATCCCGAGACCCCTAACTGGAGGGCAGCAGAACTGGGCTGTGGGGTTGCCGGGTCGCACAGGGCGGGGGTCTCTGCTCCCGGCCACTGGCCACCTGCCCTGTAAGGTGGCACATCCTCTGCCCACCGCCACCAAACTCCAGCTCCAAGACCACCCTCCAGGTGGCGCTTCCCCACTTCCCTGGTGGCAGGCTCCGTCACGGCCCGTGCGACGCTGTCTATGCCTCTTTGAGCCCTGCTTCCCTGGGTAGGAGAGGGAACAGGGAGCGCAGCCGCCTTGGAGGAGCCCGAGAGGATGGACTGTGGCAGGTGCAGAGCGAGGTGCAGGCTCAGGCACCCATCACAGCATGGCAGACAGCCATGGAAGGCCATCTCCTGCGCAAGCCTCCACGAAGGCGTGCGTGCGACAACTCAGGGCGCTGCCACACCTGGGACAAGCCCCAGGCCACCTGTGATGGAAGTCTGCCTGTGACTGACGGAAGCCTGTCGGTGACTGACACAGGTCCATCTGTGACTGATGGAAGTGTGCCTGTGATTGACACAAGTCCATCTGTGGCTGACGAAGCCTGTCTTTGAGGGAAGTCTGCCTGTGACTGAGACCAGCGCCCCGTGGACGTCTTCACTGTGGACTCGCCTGCTCCCCCTCCACGCCATGTGCTGTCCACAATGGCCCTGGGTCACTGTCCGCAGGGTCGGGGTGAGCTGTGAGGCCACCGTGCCCTAATGATTTCTTCACCCGTCTCAGATCCGGTCTTTGGGCTCCTCCATGATCCGGTCCTGCTTAGCCTGCTAACTGCACCTGCCACCCAATTCCACCCATGCTGCTACATGCTGGCTCCCCTGCGACACGACGTGTGCCCAGGGATGCTTCTGCCAGTCGCACTGTGCAGCCCTGCTCACAGGAGACCTCAGCTCTCCCTGCATGCACTGGCGTCGCCTTGTGCCACCTGGGCATGCAGTAAGTCCCTCTACCCACGTGCCACACAGTGCCAACACGACTGCCCCACTCCAGCTTCCTCCCTGTCGCCGTGGGGCCTGCTGCCGGCCAGCGCAGTGGCCCCTTCCTCGCTGTTTCCAGCACCCAGCGAGGGGCCTCACGTAGGGAGGATAATCAGCACGCGTCTTCTGAACAAAGACCAGGCCAAGATGGCGGCACAGGTCAGGGATCTTTTCATGCTCACTCTGAACAGGGGCCGGTGCTGGACGCCCACATCCACACCAGAGCGCCTGGGTTTGAGCTGTGGCTCTGCTCCCCATTCCTGCTCCTGCTTCTGTGTGTGTGTGTGGGGGGGGGAGGGCAGATGCAGCAAGTGATGGCTTCAACAGTTGAGTGTC